ATGTACAACAAAACCATTTGAATAAAACTGTTCAAGATTGTTATCAACCGTTTGTTTGGCTTGTTGACATAGTGTTCGAAGAAGTTGAAATTTAAATGGTGCATTACGACGAAAATCAAGTGGATGATAATAACTAATATTTTCAAAGTAAAAATAATCGATCCATTCTTGGGTAATAAAATCAGATGAACAGATTTCGTTATACTTCACTCTTATATTAATAAAGTCTCCGTATGGAATTAATAACTCTTTACATGGACATTTCAAACTAGTTGAGTGTTTCAATTCTAATTGTTGAAATTGTTCTTTTGCCGGTTGTGATATTTTAATAAGAGTTGATTGACTTGTTAAAGATAAATACAAAAGGAATAGAGACAAAATAATAGTAAGAGCAATGATGTAAATTCGTGTCGATAGAATTTCATTTCTTTTCTCGTGTGCATCATCCGTTTCTGTATCGAAAAAATTAAGTTTAACAAAATATTCATAAATACTACATATTAAAGTCATCCTAAAAAAGAAAAATGAATGTGAAATACATTCTCTTGACATGAGTCTCTCTCTATATATACATGTATTATTTCAAGGACGTAGTACATCTGTCAGTGCATTTGAGCCGTATGGTGAGATCTGGCATATGACGCAAGTCCTGATGAAAGTAAAAAAACAGTGTGATTTACTGACGCAAACTAAAACATATGCTGGTCTGCATCAGCGAACTTTTTCAAGTACATATGTTCTCAGACATTAAGTTTTCCACAAAGTTCTTAGCGAGAACTTACAAATCAAGCTTTTAAAGAACGTAACCGAAGATCCAAGTCTTGTATAATTTGTGCAAGGCTTTTAGTTGTTCAGTTATCTGCAACAGTGCCAAACTTGAAGGTCAAACTCAAGTATTCAAACTATCCGTTCGACTATTCAAGTATGTTTAGAACACACTCTTCGTAACAGTTACAGTTTCAAAGCTACATGTTTTACTTTATGGCAACACTCTTCATCGGCTGTATAGCACTTCTATCTTCTATAAACCAGAAGCACCAACACACCACCTACACTAGGCTTATTCGTCGTCACGCCTGTTTCTTTGAGAAGAAACTGATTTTGATTATACAATCAATTTACAGAATATCTCTCGAAGTACATCAAGCCCTCGAGATGATCGATCAGCTCACATTTGGCTTGAGTACCTTGTTGCTCTTCTCATTTCCATAATTCTTTTCTTTTGGTTCGAATTTTGTTCTCGATCCGAGGAGAAAGTAAAAGTTTCCGATAATTGACAAGTATTAAGATGAAAGGAAAATCTGCTAGGAGAGATCGTCAACCGTTCTATTGATCAACATTGGTGTTGTTGTTACTATGAACAAAATCAAACTGAATCATAGTTTTAGGAAAAGAGAATTCTTATCGACCCGAAACAAACATAAAACGACGTTGTGGAACGAGCATTTTGTTTCTTTATCTATGAAAAGAAATCATTTTCATGTGAATTGACATTGTTTTCGACGGGTCTTACGAATAAAGAGACATGTTTTTCCTATATTCACCTATCTAAGATGGCTTTGATGGAGTTGATTTTGGTCCAAAAGGACAAATTTATATATTTGATAGATCATCAAATCGATATACAATTCGATCTCTTTATTCCGTTTATTGCCGAGACTGGCGAAACGAAGAAATAATCGAGTACTGCAGTATAGAAAAGATGTTATCTCACCGATCTGTGGTGCTTGGAAGGGATCGATAGTTATTCTCTTCCGACATCTATTAGTGCAACGATTTTGATGTCTGTGTCTTTCAAAAAGAGCAAAAACGATCCATTTATTTGATCTATGTCAAATATGAAAGTAATTGTGGGAGAGATATGAATTAACTTCAAACATTTAAGGAATCGATTTCAAATTCACTCGAACTTGAAAGTTTACAATCTAAGCTTTGGATATAAATAGAACAATTTGTTCAAAGTGTGGATCGTATGGATGTCACTTCTCCAGCTGATGATTCTTTACTTGTTGTTAATTCAGCCTGTATGGTCTTAGGAAATTATTGGAGCAAAAAAGTTTGCCATTTCCAATATTCATCACTCGTTCGAAGTTAGTCGAATGAGTAAGAACGCTCGGTGAGTCAAAAGACGTACTGGGATGAATGATCGGAATTTGACTGAAGTATTTTCTTCTTGTTCATTACTTTCAATGGATTTATTGAAAATTTTCACTGATATTTCATTTGTCTAGTCTAAGAAAGAGTCCTCTCGGTTTGAGTTATAATCCTCGTTGACTTGATGAGATTTATTAAAACAGAACAAAACAATGACAATAAAATAGTTAATGATTTCCATTAGTAAAAGAAGATAGTTGTTGTCTGATTGCATTTGTAAGAAGAGCAATCGCTTGATCTATTTCATCATCAGTTGTCATATAAGAAGTACTCAATCGAATTGTACCACGTGCTAATTCCCATGATAAACCTTTGAATAAAAGAGAATTATTCATATTAAAGATAATAACGAATAGAAGAGAAATCGTACCAATCGCTTGAAGTGTTGTTGACATTGATTGATGTTTTGTATCTTCATGACAAGCACTACCAGTTGAAAAAGCTAATCGATCATTCAATTGCTGAACTAATTGTTTGGCGTTAATTCCACGAAAAGATAAATTCAATGTATTTGGTAAAGAATAAACTTCGTGTGTATTTCGATGAATAAAATCTTCATTAAATTGTTGAATTAATCCTTGATAAAGCCGGTCACGTGTTCTCTTCATTTGTTCAATTCTTTTATTCAATAAAGTTTTATTTGATATTAGTTGACACGCTTTTCCTAAACCAACAATTGCTAAAACATTCTCAGTACCTGGTCGAAGACCTTGTTCATGTTGAGCACCATAGAGAATTGGTTCTAATTGAATTCCTTCTCGAATATAAAGAGCACCAATACCTTTAGGACCATGAAATTTATGCGAACAGATCGTTAATAAATCCACACCAAGACGTGTTACATCAATTGCAACTTTTCCCAGAGATTGTGATGCATCTGTATGAATTCGAAGATCAGATGAACCAAATTGACGACAAATTCGAACGATTTCTTCAATTGGTTGAATTGATCCTAAAGAAGAAAAGATTTTTTGTCCGCGGAATTCTTTTCGAAAATGTGAATTTCAACAAACCAATTTCATTGTTACTGTGCATTATTGTAACAAGTTTTGTTTGTGGTTGAATCAATTGTCGAAAATGTTCGAGATCAATAATTCCATTGGAATTGACTTTAACAAATGAAATTTGAATATTTTCATAGGAATTTTGTAAAGATTTGAGAAGATTAAGAACAGATGGATGTTCAAATGGACTTGTGACGACATGTTGATTGATTTTGAGATTTAATTTGAGAATTCCATGAAGAGCTAAATTATTTGATTCAGTTCCACCACTTGTAAAAATAATTTCGTTGAGATTCGATGCATTGATTGACTTTCTCACTTGTTCTCTCGATTCGTTTATTAAATATTTTGTTTCAATTCCAATTAAATGAGATGAACTTGCATTTCCAAATAAATTTGTCGATTTTAAATGATTAATCATTGATTCAATGACATTTTTATCTTCTCGTGTCGTCGCATTATTGTCCAAATAGATGATTTTTGATAAATCTGAATATTCTTTCTCATAATCATTATTCATGGATAAGAATGCCATATGTTTCTTTGATAAAACGTCCTTCGTAGAATGTGGAAATCGTAGTACGTTGTCGTAGTTTTAAAATTGTCACGCCTTTCTTTTCTTTTCCTTTCTCTTTCTCACTATGACGAAGAATGACGTGGCAAAATATACAAAAACAGATGAGAGAAGGAAAGAAAGAAAAGCTGATTAACGCAAAGTCGCTATATATTTTTTCTTCTCATTTCTCATCACATTTTCCATGACGAGATGCTTTCTTGATGAAAGTAAAAAGACACAAAAGAGAAAAAAAACTTTATTTCTAAAATAACAATATAGAAAATGAAAATCTCATCTGCTTGACTTGTTTTGCTTGTTATTCATTAAACAAACAGTTCAAATTTCGTCAATAATCTTCGGTTTTTTCATAATCGGAAGTCGTCATGGTCTTCATCATATCTCACCGCATTTTTATTTTGTTCTTTTGATTATCGTCTGTAGAAAAGTGACGCGTGAATGAGAATATTTCCAAGTTGTACATGTCCAAAATTTGATTAAAAACTTGAAATAGACGAACGTAGTTCAATTCTGATTTATGTAAATGTTGAATAAACACATAAGATCTTAGTGAATAATACACATAATATCTTAGTGAATAATACACATAATGTTCTTAAAAGAGATTAACAAAAGGATCCACTCGTTATCAATGTAATAATTGGAATCCTTTCTTCTGTCACTATGGAATTGTTATACTTTTCATATGTAAATCGAAAGGAATGCTGGTTGAATATTTCTTTGGTTTTCATTGAAATTGAAGAAAAGAATTGAGATAAAGTTGAACATTTGTTATATTTCTCAAATATTGTTCCTAAAATGTACGGAGAAGAAATTGTCACATCATGATAAATTGTTATCAAACGAAGAAAGAATCTTCTTTACCCTGGAAAATAACAAAGCATTGTCATCATACCTCTTCTTTTATCTATATTGAGTTAACATTTGAAAAGAAGAGACTTATTTGTTGCACTTTGCTCGAGACGATTTCATAAATGAAAAAGTTCTTTGTTATAGATGAAAATGGAATCAATGAGTACAAAAGAAAATTTACAAATCAATGTTGTTGAAGTTGATCCGAGAATTGAAGAAATTCACAATGACGATGAAGTGACAAAACATCACAATGGAATCTATTGGCGTTTATTATTTCTTAATTTAGTTGTTTTATGGGCATATCAATCATTAATTTCTGCACAAAATTATTATATAAAATTTTTTCCAAATGATCATTTAGATTTTTGGGGAACAGTTTCTGCAGGTACATCAATGTTTTTTCTTCATATAATTCAATTATGGCTCGGTGTTTATAAATATGGATTTACAAAACGTGTTATTCCTGGTTTTATTTGTTANTATTGGCGTTTATTATTTCTTAATTTAGTTGTTTTATGGGCATATCAATCATTAATTTCTGCACAAAATTATTATATAAAATTTTTTCCAAATGATCATTTAGATTTTTGGGGAACAGTTTCTGCAGGTACATCAATGTTTTTTCTTCATATAATTCAATTATGGCTCGGTGTTTATAAATATGGATTTACAAAACGTGTTATTCCTGGTTTTATTTGTTATATTTTAATTTCCATTGCTGTTATGGCATTTAAAAATAAAATTCTCTTAATTATTGCATTTGCAAGTGTTGGTGGAGTAAATACAATCACAGAATCTCCTATTTATGGAATTGCAGGTTTATTTACAACAGGTTCATTTACACAAGCAGTTCAAGTTGGAAATGGTATGGCGGGATTTTTAAATGTAACAGCAAATACAATAATACGTTTACTTGTTTTATTATTTCATAGTCATATTGATGAAGATCAATTGTCATTTTATATTTTTATGAGTGTTTTGATTGTTTTATGTATTTTAGCAATTTATGTTTATTATCGTTTAATTTCACTTCCACCTGTTTCATCTCGAATTGATCAACAAATGAATTTATTTCAACGAAATAATGTTCCTGATGTTATTCAAGTAAATGAACATGAAAACGAACTTTCGTTTTGGACATTAGCACAAATTTTAAAAATTCATTTAATTGTTCAATTTTATGTTTTATTTATTAGTTTATTATTATGGCCTGGAATTCCATGTAGTTCATCAAATACAGGTTGGTTTGCATTTCGAGGAAAAACTTGGTGGTGTTCACCATTTGTTATCTTTACATTTAATCTCGGTGATTTAATTGGACGAACATTAGCTGTGAAAGTTCATCAATATTTTTCATCAATGACATGTCTTGGTGCTGCTTTACTTAGAACTTTTTTCATTATAATTATTTTTTATCGTCATCATATTGATAACATTCTTTTACTTGTTTTAATCACTTTGATGGGTTTAACAAATGGTCTTCTTGCAACAATTACATTTATGGTTCGACCAGAAACTATTGTTGGTGTTCATAATTGTGAACGAGCAGCTTATTTAATGACTGCAGCACTCTATTTCGGTATTGCAGCTGGTTCAATTGTAGCNCTTAGAACTTTTTTCATTATAATTATTTTTTATCGTCATCATATTGATAACATTCTTTTACTTGTTTTAATCACTTTGATGGGTTTAACAAATGGTCTTCTTGCAACAATTACATTTATGGTTCGACCAGAAACTATTGTTGGTGTTCATAATTGTGAACGAGCAGCTTATTTAATGACTGCAGCACTCTATTTCGGTATTGCAGCTGGTTCAATTGTAGCCGCGACTTTAGCATTAACAAATGTTCTTTAAATTTTCTTTTAATAAAGAGAAAACCTTCAGATTTCTTCTCACCATGATTTGTAGTGCAAAAAGTGTAAGAGAAAATCTCTTTTCCACTCTCCTCACACCAATGGCATAGCCATAATATAACTCGGAAAACAAAAAGACATTTCTTTTCATAATACATAACAATATTATCAATCTAATCATTTCATCAACACAAATAATAATTTGAATGTTGAGAAAAATGAATTAATTATCTGCAATAAATGTGTATTTATCTCTCTTTGAATACACAAAATTTCCTTTCGATGGAAAAACTGATTTGACTGATGAAATCATTGTTTATGCGTTTTAGTTTCAGTTGAACTTTTAATCAAATTTACAAAAAGAAAGAAAAGATCTCTTTTTCATATTAATCAGAGAGTCTTTCAGTACATAATACTTTTCTGTATCAATTTATTTCGATTTTCTTTCTTAATTCTCTTCGTTAATCCAATCAAAGATCGAAATACTTTTACAAACAACATTGATGTCGTTATTACAGTAAGAATTCCATATTTGTCTCCTAAAAATCATCCTAATCTTTATTTCAATATGATATACGTTTTGTTACGCATAGAAATACTTGTCACTGATGTCGAAAACAAATATTTTTGCATTTGATTAACGTTCGAAGAAATGTTTCACGAAATACACGTGACGTTAACAGTGAAAGATAAAATGCTTTGACATTATTTAAATAATAACAACAATTGGATAGTAAATAGAAGCTGTATAAAAGAGTTCCTGGTTTCAAATTGATTAGACCTCCGATAAAAATATAAGTTAATGAAAACACCATTGTCCATTGTAGTGAGAGAAGAGCTGTTGTCAAAATTTGTGCAAATATCATCGTAATGAATTGATTTCGAGAACGACGAAAAGTATCTGGTATTGTATACCGTCTTATGGGCACCTACATGATACAAACGATCTCTTGTTTTCGAAGAGAAAGTACGTCTACTTACTACTAGTTGGCGACTCTTTCGAACATTTCGAAATGTTAATATAACAAAGATGAACATTATTGTTGGTTGCATGAGACCATTGATGGAAATATACAGCAGAGTATTAGTTAATGGTTGTGTAATTGTACACCCCGATGTGTTTCTGTATTCATAAAGAACAAGATTACGCATTGAAGCTAAACAACTAGTAAGAATGGGAATAATAATACACAATGGAACCATTTTCAGTTGACTAAGACGACTCATACGTGAGGTTAATCTACATGTACTGGCATATCGATCAATGACCGCCATCAGTAAGAAATTAAGTGATAAATGCGGAAAGAATACAAGACTCATCATTTGCAGTGGACATAAATAAGTCAATCGTAACCATGGAACACTAATTCCATGACTTAACTTCAAATAATTAGGAAATAAATTGAGTAAAATGTGGATAATATCAGCAATGGAACCACAAAGTGAATAAATACAACATGTGTTCGAACGAAGCTCACGTTGAAGATAAGTAAAAACATTACCCACAAATCCAATTAAACCAAGAATAACAAACAACAATGGTAAATAATTTACGAATTTGGCTATTATAACATCAATAATTCCTATTGAATTTGTGACTGTAAATGTAGTCATATTAATAATTGTGCTGTTAGATGTCATTGAAATGAGTTAATATCTAAGAAATGAAACCCGAGTCAAAATACAACTACGACATGCTTCTCTTTTGTTTAAAAATCTCCTATGGTTTTAAACTAAAGTACGATAGAATGATTCCATCGGTACACAGATTTTTCTCTCAAGTCACGAGATCATTAATTTAATAAATACATACCGTGAAAGGAATCAAATTTGACAGATTCTCTTGAATGCTGCTATGTGAACTCTTTATAAAATATAATTACTTAGAATATATTAAATGTAATAACAATGTCATGTTACTCTCGTATAATATGTTAGCAAAAATATGGTGTCACTAAGTTTTTAATTGTTATTGTCGAAAATAGGGAAATGTTGTCAACATAGATGATTTTGACGAGATTGTAAAGCTTTTTAAATTGTATCTGACAGTGTATTCTGATTGTTGAGACAATTTGTTAAAGAAGGAAAGATTTGAATCCCACCTGTTTTAGTCTGAAAAGTGAACACGAATCCTATCAACACGAGTCTTTATCATGCGTCCAAAACGTTCGTATAGTTTTGTTGAACTTCTTGTGAATGGAATTACTTTTGGGAGAATCCGAGAGGCTTATAATAATACGAGAAATATATCTATTTATACGAATAATAGAAAATCTCTGAAGATGCTGAGCACGATAATCTGATTTGAAATCCAACCGACAAATCTCAAGAAACGACCAAACTGGTGTTGACTTATAAAACATTCAATTTATACTCAGAGAAGTGAAAAAAACTCAAGTAAATGTAAGACAATTTTTGTTTTGTCATGACAAAGAAGAGAAGATAAATTTCTGCAGAAAAGCATTTCAAATCAATCTCGTTTGAATCGAATACTTCGAAGTAACCAAATAAAAAACTAAATATATGTCGCAGGAATAACTGAGATTTAGGAAAATGAAAAATTATCATAGGATAAATCGAAGTCTTTACTTCAACGCGATAGAATAAGGAAACGCGGGGAGATGCATCGTATAAAAACTGCCTGCACGCGTTTATGCATGTTTTCGCAGCTGATGCGTCTCAGATGAGAAACTCTTTCATCCGAATCATTGAAAATGCACTTCCACAGTACTTTCTTCTAAAAACTTTGTTAATTTACTGCACTGGATTGTATCTTTTTCTGCGTGGAATCTCTTAACCTGTTCGTTGGACATGACTTTCTATCAACTGTTCCGATTCTAAATTCATCAGAAATATGAACAAAACCTGCTATCATCAATAAGAATCGCTCATTCGAATCACCGGGAATAGAGATAAGAAGTATTTTATTCACCAAAGCTATGCTGAGGATCGAAATTATTAACAATTCATATTTGAATAATATCTCATTCAGTAAACAAAGATTTCAATAAGATATCGAATTCTTCTTTCTAAACGAGAATACGAACAATGTTGATTTATCTTTGTGATTCAATAGAAAAAAAGTATAAGTTTCGTCGTTAAAGAAGCATCGAAAGTACGAATTATTAATCGATATTCAGATTTATTTACAATTTTTATAGGATTGATTTCATTTAAGATAAGTTCTAGACGATTATCTTCTTAAAAGGGAAATCTAACTTATTCATAGATAAGCCAATGTAGTGCAATGGCCTAAGTAAGTAGACTTATAATGGAAAGGTCTTATGTTCTAGTCTCACTCGTTCAACCATCCAAACGTATGTATAAAAATTGAAGAAATGTTCTGTTAGAAGCGTGGCGGAAGAGATGACCACCAAAGGGGAATGATCGTGACGCAGGTCAAAGCTGCGAGAATAGAATGTTTTTTTAGCAAAAAAATAATAAACGCGTTTATACTCAAAAAAATTTCCCATGGCCAATTTGTTATGGAAGATATCTAGTTCAAATTGAGAAGCCATTTTGGCCTCGGAAAACTTCGACTATCAATTTGTCCCAGGGAATATTTTAAACTATCCTCGATGGATAAAATAGACTTCACGTTTTAATTTGTCCTGTAGGATAAAATAAAATATGTTTTCTCATCCACTACAATAATGAGAACAGTGAGTAAAAAGTATAAATAGACAAAAAGTTCGATAGATGGTATAAGTAAATATTCAAACAAGCATCTCTCTCTTGTAGCGATGGAAATATTCTACGAATCACTCGATTAATATATCAAAGATTTGATTTAGTTTCATAAACACCAAATAAGATCATCATACAACGTTTGTTTTACGCAAAACTTTTCCCGGAACCTTTCATTGAAATCTTTGATATATTTATCGAGTGATTCGTAGAATATTTCCATCACTACAAGAGAGAGATGCTTGTTTGAATATTTACTTATACCATCTATCGAATGTTTTCTCTACTTATATACTTCTTAATCGCTGTTCTCATTGTTGTAGTGGATGAAAAAACATATTTTATTTTATTCTACAGGACAAATTAAAATGTGAAGTCTATTTTATCCATCGAGGATAGTTTAGAATATTCCTCTGGGACAAATTGACAGTCGAAGTTTTCCGAGGACAAAATGGCTTCTCAATTTGAACTAGATGTCTTCCAGAACAAATTGGAATTTTAGTTTCTCCTGAAAAATATCGCTTTCAGATTAAAACTTGGAGTTATCGTAGGAAAAACTAAACTTCCAGCTTGTCCTAGGGCAATTTTAGATTTTCCGGAATCTCAGTTATTCCTGCGACATATACATTCAACGATATATGAGAAAATTTGTTTTCTTCTTATTCTATATATACGTATGTGAAAATTTTGACAAATTAAATAAAGAAAAATCTTGTTACGATCAAATTTGCTCTACTTATTCATTTAATGTGGATTGTGCTTTTATCCTTATAGTGACAAGAGATTATGTAAGCAAAAAATACATTTCTAAGTCAAAAAAGAACCAAAATGTCAAGATTAATTATCGTAGTTTTTTTCTGCACATCTGAAAGCTTAAAATACCACAGAAATCAATTAATATCAAAGGAAATAGTTCGAAGATGAGATCTCATCTGTCGAAAGAATCCAAAACACTGCGTTAACATTCGCATGTAATGTCGCGATGCTTGTTTCAATTTTCCATGTTATTTTCATTGAACAAAAAACTTCTAAGTAAAGAGATAATCGACATCGATGCAATACTGGTAGGATCGCATGCAAATCTCGTACTGCATACCTGTACCTTCATATTCTGATTCGTTGCTGATTATTTGAAAGGTAGAATGCAATTGGAGATGAAAACTGACTTATCAAATTGTGGGGAAATTTATGAAGTTTTTAAATCGCCGTTCTTCCTTGCAGAATTCAACGGAAAAACACACACACACAATGGCTTCTTCATCGGACAAAATCAAATCTCTACAAGATCAATGTGAACAATTAACGAAAATAACTGAGAAATTAAATGAAACAATAACAAATGCAGTAGCAGATGCGTCAAATGAATTAAAAGGAATTTTAAATCAAATCAAAGAAACAAATGAAGAAATGATGTGTACGGTAACAAATGACACAAATGAATGGAAACAATTAAAAATTAATCTTGATACAATAACTGTACAAGGAAAAGTTTCATTTGATGTTGGTGGAAGAATATTTTCAACAACTGTTCAAACATTGACAAAAGAAAAAGACACATTTTTCACCGCTCTTATCTCCAAACAATGTCAAATCGAAAAAGATGATCAAGGAAGATATTTTATCGATCGAGATGGAGATCTTTTTGCAGAAATTTTAAATTTCATGAGAGATCCAACAACGTACAAATTAATTGATGGGAAATTTCGAGAACGTTTAATTATTGAAGCAGAATTTTATCGATTGAACAATTTAGTTTCGTTATTAAGAGGTTATTTTCAGTCAACTAATCTCTTGGATATTGAACAGCAAATCAAATTAAATGAATTTTATGGAAAAACAGATCAAAGTTGGATTTTAATTTATAAAGCAACAAGAGATGGTTTTGAAGGTGCAAAATTTCATAGTTTATGTGATAATCAAGGTCCAACAATGACAATTATTCAATCGACAAATGGTCATTTATTCGGTGGTTATGCTTCACAATCTTGGATATCGAATTCAGCATATTCAAATGCAGTAAATTCATTTCTGTTTGTTCTTAAAAATGCGAACAATAGTCCGCCGACGAAATTTATCTATAATAATAATGGAAATGGCTGTTATAATAATCCAGGTTATGGACCAACGTTTGGCGGTGGTCATGATTTACATATCGCTACTTTAAGTAATACCAATACTAATTCATATTCGAACTTAGGAAGTAGTTATCCTAATTCATTGGGTCTTGGTCCGAATACATTCACTGGGTCGAGAAACTTTACTGTAACAGATATTGAAGTTTTCAAATTAATGTGACATTGAACATTATTATTATTCAACGAAGAAAAAGTTGTTTTTACAAATTTAGAATCATACTAAAGCATATAGACGTTGAAATATTCAAGAATTTTTTTCGAAGAAAAACAAAGAAATTTGTGTTTTAAAATATTTTCACATGCCATGGATAATTGTGTGCTGTTTTGACAGATTTTTTTTAAGAATAAATAACATCGTTGCATTACGATGAATGAAAATTCAATTGAAAATATATAGTGTCATGTGTGCAACAATTAACTATTATTCTATGTTTCTTTTATATGTGGAGAACGATAAAAATATCGAAACTTTATCAATATTGAAGTTTACGGGGGAAAATACAAGATTTTTCTATATAAATATCCTTAGTGCTATAGACACACTTTCTATTCGAATAGCTATGACTCAACCCAATTATAGAATGAATATAATCAAAGATAAGTAGACACGATGAAACAATTTACCTTTACACATTCTATCCTAAATCAGAGAAAATTTTCAATTATTTATGAACAAATAACAAATTCAGATATGTACATCTTTATCTAGTTTTTTTTCTTTTATTGAAATCTTTAAATCGTTTAATAATTTGACAGTTGAATTGGAATTTTCGAAAACAATTCTACGATAAATTCTGTTCACTTATAGATTATAAAATTCAACTGTATTTGTAGTGTAATCATCTATTCCTCCAATTGCTAAAACTCTTCCATCGTTCAATGCCATTAATGTATGATGCGATCGAGCAATATTCATATTACCAAGAGTCGCCCAACTTGTACTGTTTGAATCGTAAATTGCAGCAAAATTAGTGGAACTACGAATCAATGGTTCTGGATCCAAAAAATCTCCACCTGCAATTAGAACTCTTCCATCACGTAATAAAACTGTTTTGACAAATAATCCTCCTACAGCTCCTTTGCTCGTTATTGTCCATTTGTTAGTTGAAGGATCATAAACTTCAGTACTGGTCACATATCTCATATCTTCAGTAAATCCAGCTATAACTAAGACTTTTCCATCTTTCAAAATGGACGCTCCATGCAATGCTCGTTTGTCATTTAAATCATTTGTTAGAGTCCAATGACCCGTAGATGGATCATATATTTCCGCACTATTCGCTATCCCACCAACGACTAATACTCTTCCATCATTTAAAACAGTGGCTGTGTGATATTGTCGAGAATAGTTCAAATCGTCAGTTTGTGTCCATTGTCCTGTTGTTGGATCATACAATTCAGCACTTTGATCTTGACTCATACCGCCAACAACTAATACTTTTCCATCATTCAGTACAGATGCTGTGTGCAAAGATCTCGCATGGTTCATATTGCCAGTGTTTGTCCAACGACCAGTTGAAGGATCATATAACTCAGCTGTGTCAGTATCTCCACCAGCAATTAGTATCTTTCCATTTTTCAGTGCAGATGCTGTGTGCATCGAACGAGTGCAATTCATATTACCAGTGATTGTCCAATGACCTAATGTTGGATCATAGATTTCTGCCGTACTCCAATCAGAGCTCACAACGTCTCCACCGGCAACCAAAATTTTTCCATCGATTAACATGGTTGCTGTGTGATATTCTCTGGGAACGGTCATGTTTCCAGTAAAACGCCAATCTGAACAATATAAATAATGACTTTTTTTTATATCATGTTTTCATCGAACAATCAACATTACATACTTTTTGCGGATACATATCCAAATAGGACACTGATTGTGAGAATCATAATATTTGCTTGCATGTTCTAATCTTTCTTTTTCTGTAATGATCATCGTCTATGTATGGTACGTTTTATAGAATGAGACAGATTGATGTTGTTCTCATCTTCAAAATATATTTGTGAGAAGTAGAACAAATCATTCATATTCGTTTAAAAAGTAGAACAGTTCATATAATGATTAATATTTCATTATTTTAATTGCAATTCTCAGTACATTATTTGAATAAATGAAATCATCACGTGCCTTTTAAACTATTGATTCTGGTGGGTTTTGTTTTCGTTAAAAAATTTCTCTAAAGGTTTCAAATTTATTTTCCAAATATTTTAATAAGAAAATCTTGTTTCAAAAGAATTTTCTTTATAATAAAAAACGAAATAAAATGACGCATAGGAATATGATCAATAAAAGTTTGAAATACTTTGCCTTCGTTTTCCAGACCAAAGACAGTTGATTCTTTTTCAAATAACATCGACATATATACAAGCAGCTGGGCCTCCTGTTTGTTCCAACCAAAAGGAAATTGTATAAAAATCTCCAATAGTTGCATTAAAAGATTGAAACAAATATTCATAACCTCTCACACAATAAGCTTTGAAGCAATTATTACCAGATGACGTTTGACAACCACTCGTAATTACTTGTCCCTGGGTAACACCTTGACATGTAGATGAATTCGCTACACTCCATCCAACTGGTGATGATGTCGAATTTTCGAAACTCGGATTACTAAGAAGTTGTACAGAAGGTGCATTGTTATCAGTAATCGAAATATTATCCAAATAAGAACAGTCTGCTGGGCCACCATCGAATATAAAACGAAGTGTAGGTTCGATACTCGTTGCTATATAAGTATATGAAAATTGGAACCAACTAGTCGGTCCACTCTGAGTCAGCAATCTGCCAAAATTAGCCATCTGACAGCGAGATACTGGAATATATATTTACATATATAGAAGAGAATCTCGTATTTCAATCATTTACCGGTTGTCGTTGTTGCTATAATATCAGATAATGATGATTACACAGATGTTTTAAAGAGGAAAAATGAACACAAATGGTTTCGAATTGAAATATGACATTACTTGTTTGAGTTGTGGTAGTCGTGGATGAAATAGCTAAAACTCATTCTATTTCACTGAGTAATGAATCAGAACATCGAATATTACTTGAAGCCGAAGTTGTTGTTGATGTACTACCTTTAAGAATAATTTCGATGTAATAAATACAGATTATTTTAGTAAATGTTTATAAGATGATAAGTATTTACAGTGATTGAAATCTTAATCGATATTTTCTACATACTTGTTGAAGAAACATCCGTTGTACTACTTGTTAATGTAGTTATTAACACTAGAATAGTCATCATATAATAATCTGTAGAGTTTATACTGTATTAAATACAGTTTATAGATTTTACCTGTTGATGTTGTAGTGCTGGAAATAGAAATTGAGCCGGTGGTGTTGATTGTTGTTGATCCTGAAATAATGATTATTTAAAATTTCTGTAAGTTTATCATATTTATCTTCTGATTGTGTATTATACCCATCGCAGTGATACTTGGTGTTGTTGTCGTCATATCTGAAGAAATATAATACTCATTGTATACAATATTAGACAAAACATGAGCTTTGAAATGTTTTGTTTTTGACCTGATGAAAATACACGATGGATTTCAATTAGAATTGACTTACTTTCATTTATAGAAGATAATGGATTTGTTGTCGCTGTTTTTCATTCATTATAGAAGAAAAAGTCGGATAAGAAAAATGAGAGAAAAAGAAGAATACTTACAATGATCGAGACCAAGGAGAAGACCAATGATGATTCCATACAAGAGAATAAGACAGATAATAATTGGGCAACAGGAATAATAAGGATGACGAAGTATAAATATCCTATAAGTGGATCAATAGAATTAAAAAAAAAGAATAACATGGTTCATTAGTCTATTAAGTAACATAGGAGTTATTCGAAATTTTCTTTTCTCATAAATATCAGATTTTACAATTCATATGATAAATTTACTCATTATCTTTTCGTCTTGTTGCTTCATTTGTTGCAGAAAATGATGTTAATCTTTCCGGAGATAAATACTCTACATGATGCCAAAAATCATTTGAAGTGATACGTGATTGTTCCATATAATCAGTGATTTCCACTTGTTCACAAACGTATGCCAATAAATTTTGAATTAATACAGTGAAGTTTACACTTTACTTTGATCAATATCCATAATATTTGTTCTATTTAGTAAATGGAATAAATTCGTACAAAACAAAAATAGAAGAAAAGGTTACACTAGAAAAGTACATGATACCATACAATGAACCTAATGAATATTCAAAACTCAGACATTGGAAATTGTTCTCTTTTTTTTCGTGGCTATTCGCTTTATTAACCTTTTGTATGAGACTCGGAAAAGATTGCAATGTCCTAAACGAGATGAAGCAGAGAATTATGTCATGAGTTTCTGGAAATGTGCAGTTTCGGCAACAAATGTCGGGAAAACTCCTATTAGTGTAGTCCTTTGGAGTTCATAGTTCGCTAAGAACGATCACATTGCAGCGTTGAGGAGATTGAGACATGAACTTTTATTGATTCTCTAGATTTATATATATCTTCGACTAGAATGTGGATGGAACACGTTTATATCTATGTCGAAGATCAAATACAAAACTCAATACGACATTTAAATGAAATGAATATTTCGAGAAAGCGCTGCATGTAACAAATCAGGGCACTTTTTTAATTACTTTTCAGTATGTGAAAACAATCTATAAAGGTTGCTGCAAATAGTATCAAAGCCTTTCATGATAATTCTTTCCAAAAGAAACCGTGTTCTAAAAAAAATTATAATACTGATGGATCATACAGTACAACTCAATAAATATTCTTCTCAGTTCTCATAGCACCAACAGCGAATACTTTTCCATCATTGAATTCATACTACTAATGATCCTGTCCAACGATCAATTGACGTATCCTTTTCTTTTACTTATGATCATTGACTACAAGCAGCACCTTCAATAGACTGAAAAGTCAATTTGTTGTTATTCTCATCACTCATTGATACTTATGAGAAAATAGGACCTATTTTCATCATTTAATTGAAAGAAATTTCGCTTTTTAAAAAAGCATTCGCGATGTTTATGTGAATATACAGAACAATGAAATGATATTCGTTTGTTTTGTCTTTAAACTGTTGATTCAGTTGGTGTATTTTTGAATGACGAAGAGATTCTTTCTTGTAGATTATCCAATGAATTATTTTTCCAATAAATAGTTAAAATTTCGTTAATTTTTTGTTTCGTTTTGGTTTGATTTCGTTTTCGGAGGATTTTCATTAAGAAATCTTGTTTTGAAAGAATTTCATTAAGAAGTTTTTCAAATCTTCTTTGTTTTTTGTAATTTTCTTTGAAAAGATCTTCTTGTCTTTGATAAATTTTATTGAAATATTCTTGAATATCATCAGAGACAATTTTTGCCATTAAAAATCTTTTTTTCCTTATAAAAAATACGAAGAATTTCTCTTGGCGCGTCAATTTTATTCTTTTTTCTTCGCGATCAAAATTTGCTGAATAAATGTTTGAAAAGGTTTTTCAACAAATCTGTACCATATCGATGCGATAAAAAAATAATACAAAGTGAAGTAATCAATCGAAGAACCATTGATTTGTTGAAATTTTCCATTCATAATCAAATGAAATGCAATGGGAAAATGAATGACATAGATAAGATAACTAAATCTTGCAATTGATGATCAAATTCGAAAAGATAAAAAGGATTTTAACAATGAACAATGATATGGATGTGATTTCGAACAAAGTGTTGTGAATAATAGAAATGCTTGACATTTGGGAAATAATTGTCGATTAAAACAAATAAAGATGAACAATATCCACTCATTGATGAGAATTTGTTCATTTTCAATTAAAGATGTTGGTAATGAGACAAGAATTCTCATATAAAAACAAATGAAAATGAAATAAAGAGATTTCTTTAAACGAATATTTTCATTGGATTTCGATTAGCTATGCATATCTAAATTAACATTCCATAAATGATCCATTGGAATTGACCAAGTGTCCATCGAAATATAATTAAAGATATTAAAAGAATTTCCAGGTCGATATCGACAAGCTCGATGAAAAATATATGTTGGACATTGAAAGAAAAACTTTTTTTCTATTTCAACAGATTTTCCATTGATGAAGAAATTTGTTTGTTAAAAGAAAAGCAGAAATCATAAAAAATGTTTCTTCCAAAGATAAAATAAAAATGAGTGTTAAACCATTGAACATCAGGATAAAATGGAAGAAAAATACTTCGAAATGATATCAAATGAATGGAAATAATCATTAAACATGATATTGATCTTAAATCATCTATTGGTGCGAAATGATTTGCATTTTGTTTACATAAATAATTGAAATTTTCACCCATTATTCACTTCTCATGTCGTTTATCATTTCTCGTTTTCCTGTTGATTTCGTTCTGAATTATTCATCCAATCAATTGAGAAAAGAAAACGATTTGCCAATTACTTTTTGACGAAAAAAAGGTAATAAAGGAATCTAATTGACGTCTCAATCTCAACGATTGATTTATATCAATTGAAAGTCACCAAGATATGGTAACATATACGAATTATTCGTCATTTTCACTCACAAAAAAAAATTACCAAAAAGATTTCATTTTCGATGAATACGAGGAGAAAATGTTTTCCAGATATTAAAAATATATGAAAATCATGTTTTTTGAAATATAATTGACGAGTTTTTTCATAAATAAATAAAAGTATATTGAGATATAAAAGTTGAAAACCAATAGAAATATTTTTGTTTTTTTCCACATTTCTTTGTTAATCTTTTCTTTCTCTACGCAATACAACAACAACAAGGTGTAATTCTACAAAATATCCATTCAATCTTGATTGTAATTGTTTTTCCTTGACATCAAAGTCAATAGTGTAGAAATCTTTCTTTCTTTACATAAATGTTGTACGATGCAATGCAGATTAATATTAATTGTTCCATTGAAAACACAAATTTGTGTGAATAAGATAGATTTCGAAAAAGTAATTTGTTATCCATTGACTTGAGAGAATCAATAAATCTATTCATTAATTGTAATAAGTAAAGAAATTTTCAATATCTTTTGTTCGAGTAAGTAAAACTTAGTAGAAGTGATTTTTTTTTTCAAATATCTACGAGAATAAAATTCACAAAATCGAACAAGAAAGATTTCTTTTTATTTTATGTGATTAATTATCTCTGTTTCTGAACGTTTACTCTGTTGTATTCAATTAAAACAAAAGAATGATTACCAGATGCAATAAGATTAACATAAACAGATCGAATATAAAACGATGATTAATACTAATTTGAACAATACAAAATGGAAATTCGACACAATAAGAGTGATGATGAATAAAAAATAATTATATTTCTTTTCAACATTTTCAAATATTGATTTACAAATAGTAATGACATTTGAAATCAAATCAAATCAGTACTTTCAATATATATAAAGACCATAAATGAAGATTCTTTTTTTCAAATTTCTATAGGATCTTTTATAAGATGAAGAATCATCTATACACACGGGAAATATATTTCTCATAAGAATGGTTGATTTCTGATGACATCAGATATATTCGATCATTCCAAACAGCATTTGTCTTAACTAATGGAAAACGTATTTATTGCTGATGAATAGTATTCAGATGGGATCCGAAAGAGTTCTCGAAATTTAATAAATGTAATGACCAAACAAACAATTGTCTCATCAGTTTTTTTTCGCAAAAATATTCTAAAGAAGAGTTTTAATGTGAAGTGAATAGAACAAATGATATGATTTGATTCTCTTGTAAAAATACTGTAATAATAACTTGTTCATTTATCAACTAAAAAAACTTCGATTTTCGAAAATCTTTTTTTGTTAAATATTTCTAACTGCGAATGTTTCCTTTTCAGGTGATTAATGTAACTATTGACATATGTTTTATACAAAAAGTAAAGACACGTACATTGTGATAAATCTCGTTGTTATAGACAAAAGATTAATATTTATTTTGCAAATAAAAGCAAGTCAAAGAACGATATAAATCGTTATTGAAGGTCGGTAATGAATATAAAACGATAAATAGTGAAAGTGATCTTTTTCTTTTTTATTTTTCTCAGCATTTTGAAGAAAATCAACATGGTTAATGTAAATACAATTCAATCAGGAACTGTTTTTGCATGGTTTATGTTTATGATAATTATTCGACGTCTTGTAATGTTAGGTGTTGCAATGCACGCAGGACGAGGAAAACCTTTTCCACCTGGTTCACGTCCTCCAGAAGATTCGAAATTAACTCGAGTGAAAATACAAAAAACTCCGACANAATTACAATTATTTACATCTATTTTAGAAATACTTTTTTTTCACATTTCTTTGTTAATCTTTTCTTTTTCTACGTAAAACAACAACAATAACAACAACGTGGAATTGTACAATATGTTCATTAAATCTTGATTGTAATTGTTTTTCTTTGACATCAAAGTCAATAGTGTAGAAATGTTTCTTCTTCTATCTAAATGTTGTATGATGCAATGCAAATTAATATTAATTATTTCATTGAAAATACAAATTGTGTAAAGAGCATAGATTGTGAAAAACTAATTTTTTTATCCATTGACTTTAGAGAATCTATTCATTAATTGTAATAAGTAAAGAAATTTTCAATATCTTATTTTCGAATAAGTAAAACTTAGTAGATAAGTAATTATTTTTTTTTGAAAATTATCTACAAAAATAAAATTCCCAATATAGAACAAGAAAGATTTCTTTTTATTTTATGTGATTAATTATCTTTGTTTCTGAACATTTACTCTATTGTATTCAATTAAAAAGAAAATAATTACAAGATCCAATAAGATTAACATAAAGAGATCGAATATGAAACGATGATTAATACTAATTTGAACAACACAAAATGGAAATTGAACACAATAAGAGTGATGATGAATAAAATAATTATATTTTTTTTCGATATTTTCAAATATTGATTTGCAAATAGTAATGACATTCGATGTCAAATCAAATCAATACTTTTAATATATATAAAGACCATAAATGAAGGTTTTTTTTTAATAAAATTTATATCGGATCTTCTATAAGATGAAGAATCATTTATACACATTAGAAATATATTTCTCATTTGAATATTTGATTTCTAATGACATAAAAGTTCTATTCGATCATTCTATACAGCATTTGTCTTAACTAATGGTAAACGTATTTATTGTTGGTGAATAATATTCAGATGGAATCTGAAAGAGTTCTCGAAATTTAATAAGTGTAATGACCAAATAAACAATTTTCTCATCAGTTTTTTTTTTGCAAAAGTATTCTAAAGAAGAGTTTTAATGTAAAGTGAATAGAAAAAGTGATATAATTTGATTCTCTTGCAAAAATTCTATAATAATAACTTGTTAATTCAATCAATTACAAATATTTGATAATGTGAACTGATTTCTTCATTTATCAATTAAAAAAATTTCGATTTTCAAAAATCTTTTTTTTTTGTTAAATATTTCTAACTGCGAATGTTTCCTTTTCAGGTGATTAATGTAACTATTGACATATGTTTTATATAAAAAGTAAAGATACATACACTGTGATAAATCTCGTTGTTATAGACAAAAGATTAATATTTATTTTGCAAATAAAAGCAAGTCAAAGAACGATATAAATCGCTATTGAAGGTCGGTAATGAATATAAAACGATAAATAGTGAAAGTGATCTTTTTCTTTTTTCTTTTTCTCAGCATTTCGAAGAAAATCAACATGGTTAATGTAAATACAATTCAATCAGGAACTGTTTTTGCATGGTTTATGTTTATGATAATTATTCGACGTCTTGTAATGTTAGGTGTTGCAATGCACGCAGGACGAGGAAAACCTTTTCCACCTGGTTCACGTCCTCCAGAAGATTCGAAATTAACTCGAGTGAAAATACAAAAAACTCCGACAACAACAACAAATGAAATCGAATTTACTCGGGATGTTCGTGTTAATCGAGTTATTCATAATGATACAGAAAATGATCCTTATTTTTTCATTTTACTTCTTTCAACAGCAATTTTTTCTGATCGTTCAAATTGTACAAGAACAATTGTTTATGGTCTTTTGTATTTAATCATTCGTATTCTTTATGCCATTGCTTATATAATGGCTTTTCAACCGTGGAGATCAATTATCTATGCATTCGGATTAGCATTAACTTTAGCGTGTAGTTTAGATTTTGTTATAACGATGTCAATGCAACCAAATTAAGATTTTAATTGAATGAATTGTTTTCTATTTTCGATCGAAATGTTATCTTTGTAATGCACTTTAATCAATTGATTGTCTATAACAAGAGAATAAAAAGCATCTGTCTTCTTCTTCTTTTTTCTGCTTTATATATATAACAAAGTTTTCTGTTGAATACAAAAAAAAGACAAAGGGACAACAGACGATAATTTACAAGATGAGATTAAATTCTCTTTTTCTTCTTCTTTTCATTGGAACGATTAAAAGTCAACAAGAATCGTATCCAATGTGGAAAGTGTTTTGCAGTGGTCGACCGCTTTATCGTGGTCGTCTCGATTCCATTGTTACTCCTGGTGAACCTGCAGGTCATGTTCATAAAGTTATGGGTGGAAATCATTTCAGTGCTGGAGTTCGAAATCAATCTCCACTTGAACTTTATGAAATAACAAAATCAGCTACATGTACAACATGTTCAATTCATACAGTTGATAATAGTAACTATTGGCATCCTGATTTGTAAGTTAATTCTTTTCGAATTCTTTCTTATTTAATTTCATTTACAAAGATATTATCAATGGGAAAATGGAACATTTTCATTGGTACCTGATGGTGGTTTAACAGTTTATTATATTGCGAGAACAGGTGATGTTGGTTCTTCTCAATATACAAATCCAAATTGGCAACCATTTCCCAAAGGTCTTCGTATGATTGCTGGTGATCCATGGAGAAGAACATTTAATTCTTCAGATGTTTCACACAAAGCGATTAGTTTTGTTTGGTAAGACGAAGAAGAAATGTTCTTTGACAGATTCGGTAATGATCGAATGAAATTAGTTTAACAGATTTTGGAAAACCGAATGCTCCAGAAACGAATGGATTTCAAACGGATAAATATTTTTGTAAAAATGGCTTTCGAATGCAAGTGTTCTTTCCAATGTGTTGGGATGGAATCAATTTAGATTCTCCTGATCATCGTTCTCATATGGCATATCCAACTCAATATAATACTGGAAATTGTCCTTCAACACATCCTGTTCGTTTACCTGGAATCTTCTTTGAAGCTTTTTATGCTGTTGATAAATTTCCACATGGAACAGGTCGACAACCATTTGTTCTTTCCAATGGAGATCCAACTGGTTATGGTTTTCATGGAGATTTCGTATGAGAAACTTCTTCCCGGAAATTGAATAATAGAGAAAATCTTTGTTGAGGTTAATGGATGGGATTTTGATGTGGTGAAAAATATGTTAAATGACAAAACATGTCTTGCGAGCAATACAAATCTTGGAAATAATCCTGAACGTTGTGCACCAATTCAATCATTTGTTAAAAAATCAATTGATTCAAATTGTGAATTAAGTAAATCAATTCCATTAACAGAAAATATTGGAATGGTTGAACCGATTTCACGTTTACCTGGTTGTAATCCAATAACTTATTCGAACGCAATTAAATGTACGAACGGTTATGATCCAAAATCAATGGACAATACAAATACTTTTCATATTCAATCAAAAATAACTGGACTTTATTTAACTTTTAATCCAATATCAGAAATTGTTTATGCAAATGCTCCAATTCAAAATCCAACTTATCGAGAAACGTGGGGTTTAGGATGGGCTGCAAAAGATACAGGAAGAACAATAAGAAATACCGAATTAAATCGACATTTTACAATGCAAGATATTCTTCGTGTACGTGGTCCAGAATCGGATAAATGGGAAATATTTACTTTGGAAAAACAACCAAATTCAAATTATTATGCAATCAAAAATCGTCGACATGGAAAATATTTAAAAGTTGAACCAGATTTCACAGTTAGTGGTACAGCATCAATTATTGTTGATTCGTGTCTTTTTCAATTAATTACACCAAATGGGGGATTTGTTCCCGAAGGTTTAAAATTATCTGATTTCAATCAGAATTTATCAATTAATATCGGGTAGAATTGTTTAATGCGATCTATCTTTGATGTTTCTGTCAAATTTTTCGAAATAAATGAAATCCTATACAGTGTTCTACTCATTGTATTCATAATCGGATTGAAAGATTATTTTCTTTCTTTTATATTTGATAAAAAACGAGGATATTAACGATCGTGATCGTCTTTTATCTACAAATATTTTCTTTCTCTATATGTACATCGTATTCGTATGGGTTCTTCGAAAACAATAATACAGAACGATATAAGATTTAGTTTATCTATAAGAAAAGATTATGAATAAGATATGATTTCGATTGTTGATATAAACATTTGATCTGCAAGAAAAATTTTCAAAGATATTCGAAATCGAAGGAAATTGTACCCCTTCAGTTGTTATCGAAACATTCAACAAGTTTATTTTAAATGTATAAATAGATGCCGTACTGTCATGGGTTATGGAAATCAGTTTAAAATGACAATCTGAATACTAAAAACTAAGTCCAGTTGAAACACCAACATTGAGTTCATGAAGAATTTGTTGTATATCTACATACGAAATGCCACTATATCGTAATACAGTATATGCTCTATATACCATAAAGATACCTATACTAACAGTGCCAGTTAATATGAAACTGTTACAAATTGCTTTGCTTTTAAAATGATTTTCTCGCAAAATCACGTACCCTATCGCATGAAAAGCCGAAACAAAATTTCAAGTGGATTCACTTCGGTCGCATGTTGCTAATTTAGGGTTAATCATCGTCACCCTGGAGTCAATATCTCATATTACGTCTAGCAGATCATAATCGCTCAAGAAATATTAAACTAAGATAATATTATTTATCCACGAATGGATATGCTTCAGTATTTTAGTATATTATATTTGAAATGACGCAGGTGTGAATAACTATTGCACACCTAATCTCTCATACCTGCACCATTTCGCGTCATGTTTATCAGAATATTAGAAAAGATCCGTTTCTAGATAAATAATATCATTTTACTTTTGAACTTCATGTGTGATTACGACCGGCAAGGTGGAATATGAGATATTGACTCGAAAATAAAGTGTGATTAATGCGAAGAAAGATTAGTTAAAGACGTTGTCTCATCCTAACATTTATATTACTATAAATACATGTCTATGAAATAAAGCATATGCTCTTCACCATTTTCATATCTTATTTTTCAAATGATGTCTCGTCAAATTTTGATTTTTGTCTTATTAATTATTCTGAACACTACAACAATAGTATCTGCTGTTCGATGTCATAATGACAACTGCTCTATCAGTCTTAATTATACCACTGATACTATAATTGACACAACAAATTGTACATTTACTGTAACTGACGCTTGTTTCACGTCATTATCGATTAAACTACACTCAGGTGAAGGTAGTTTTTCAACTTATCCCGCTAATGCCGATTTAACTCCAATGTTTCTACTCCATAACCGAGCATTAGATTCTCTAACAACAGCTATCTGGTTTCGAAAGAAATTAATGACACAATTGTTCACCTACACATGCACAAGTGACTCGTTCTGTGGTGAAGATCGTGCTCAACAAATTTATCATCAAGCTAAGATGTTGAACTTTGACTCAGTATGGAGCAATCTAGCTGAGTCTCTGCATCAGTCTTCAACAAATAACAATCCAACGTGTATGAATGAACGAAATGAAGCAACGACCTGCAACGGTGGTGTCTGTCAAGCGTCATTCAGTAGTGAGAGTGATGTCATAACTCGAGCGTGTGTCTCGCCGCGCGGAACAGTTGATCCGACTGGTCTTATAATGTCAACATCTAATGCTGCTAGTCTTCAACTACAAAGTACAGTGATCTATTCATGTAACAAAGATCGATGCAATGATGATACAACAATCAATCGTGTCAAACAAATATTGATGGATAGCAACTTGTTCAACACTACAAAGCCAACAATAATCTCTAATAGTGCTGTTGGTCATTACTCCTGTTTTGGTACATTTACCTTTCTTAGTTTATTGACCTTTGTCGTCTGGTATTGATCAAACCTTTTTTGACTTCATCGCACAGAACTAAGCCCACGATATACATTTTTTTTCTTCTTTGCTTAATAAAACAGTTTGAAAGAAATCTCAATTTACACTCGACATTAGGTGCGGACGAGGGGTATGATTTCAACTGCCATTATTTCCACACTCATGACAATGTAAATGATGGCATTTTAGTCAAAAGACGATAATAATATAAGAACTACAAAATAAAACTAGAAATGTGTCTAATTCGAAATCAACTCGAACGACTTTATTCTCAATTTCATTCAGATCAATGGCAATCGAATGTATCCGAATGAACTCAAAACAAAACGGAATCGTTATTATTTAGAGAAAAGTGGTTTACTTCATATTCAAAACATACACTTTTTTTTCGAAGAATTCGTTTTGATATTTAAATTTTCAAATGTTAATAGGTCTTGTTAAAAATGAAGTTCATTCAACACGAATTTGTCTTTTGATCAATTTGAAACTTTTGAATTCTTTGATTGATTCTTTCACTAACAAAAAGATTTCCTTCTTTATCTAAAGCTAAACCATGTGCTGCTCTAAATTGATTTGGTTTATCTCCAGAACCATTTCCTCCGGCAATGATTTGTCCAAATGTTTGATTTTGTGTCCATTTAACAATTCGCGCATTATCCGTATCGGCGATATAAATATTCTTAAACTGATCGACTTTGACATCCCATGGATTATTTAATTGATTCGTATTTCTTCCCATTCCATTTCCTCCTGCAACAGTAATTCCTTCTTTGGCATCTTTTTTCCATAATTGAATTCGATGATTAAATAAATCAGCAATATAAATATTTTCACAATCATCAACAAAAATTCCTCTTGGCATTGATAACTGATTAGAATTTTTACCTCCACGATTTCCTCCAGCAACAAGAATTCCTTGATTTGTTTTTGAATCCCATTTAACAACGCGATCATTATAAAAATCCGAAATATATAAAGTATTTGTTTTTTCATGAACAAAGAGTCCCTGACATCCACCAATTTGATTCAGATCTTGACCTTTGCCATTTCCGCCCGCAACAGTAATTCCTTCTTTGCCGTCTTTTTTCCACAATTGAATTCGATAATTATCACCATCAGCAATATAAATATTTTCATTTTTATCGACATAGATCGCAAGTGGTTCTGCTAATTGATTTGAAGCATTTCCTTTACCATTTCCTCCAGCAACCGTTATTCCTCCCTTATCCAAAGATCCACGAAGAAATTTTTGAATTCGATGATTACCTACGTCCGCAACATAAACATTATTTTCATGTTCAACATCAATAAATAAACCAAATGGAGATCCAAGATGTTGAGAATCTGAACCCCATTTTGTGTCTTTTCCAACAAATGCAATTCCATCTGATGACCATTGACTTGTTTCTCGACAATTTTTTATTTGATTTGAATCACAACTCAATGACGCTAAAAGATGAGAAGAGAAGAGAATATGAGAGTTATTTTCGTTGAATAATATCTTTTTCCTACGCTGTGGTGATGATGTATCCCAATCGCAAACATATTTATCTTGATTCCAAACTAAAGTTGATGGACATGGCATTAAAAATGCAGTTCCAAATGAACATTGATAAAACGAATGTTTATCATCCGGATTTGCAAATAATCCATCAGAAATACAGAGAAATCCATGAGCGATTGAATGGAAATGAAGGAAAAAGTATGAAATAATCAAGATTAACCTCATTGTTTTCTCTTTCTATTCGAAATTATCTGAAAAGGAAAATGAAAATGCTTTGCATTTATCAAAATCAATCTCTGATTTGAGTTTGAAGAAAAGAGTACGCCTTTTTATTCTCGATAGAAAATATTTCAATTGTCATCATGAATATACTGATATTTGAAGAAAAAAAAAACACATTTGTCAACATTGCTTCAATGATGAATAAGCACTTTTTTATTTCTCACTGCTTAATACAGTCGTATCATTTTCAAGATTAATCGAGATAGATTTGAAGGTCACTTGATATTTTCCCGTCAATGTATTGTTCTTCATTTTCAATTACATATCTTTTATTAATGATCAAAGTAAACGAGGTTGATCATCCCGACGACCGGATCTATTCAAACGTGAGTCGATTCCAACCAAATTCGGCAAATCCTTTGCCGTGGAAATCGTCTGAGCCACAATGACATGGGAAATGGTGATAGTTCTTGAAAGATTACTGCTTCAAGAGTACATTAGGATTAAAACCAAAACTCCATGAAAACCAATAGTTCCGAAACTAAACCGAATTATTGAATCCCAAACGGAGACGAGGAAAGAGATGAACGATATCATTATCGTTACACGTATGACATGAAAATCTTGGGAAAATGACTTCGACTGTCATGAAAGTGTCTATCACACTGAGTTTTCTTTATTTGAATAGCACACTAGAAAATGAAGGTGTTTCATGAAATCTTATTCAAGATTTACATCAGACATTAACATAGTTCATAGTGTATTATCCTTTTAACAATATTTAACAAGATCGGTTTCTTTGTAGTTTATTTTATGAGACGACTTGAACGACAAGAATGAAAGGAAGAAATTATAGCCACATGCTCTTCTAGTACATGAAGATGACATTTGCATTATCTTTAAATATAAAACTGCAAACTGGTACGCCTTTTTGAAATTATTCGAGCAGAATTCTTCGAAAAAAAAAGCATGATTATTTAAACAAAAACAATTTAATTGTAGATAGAGACAAATGAAGATTTTATCTTTGTCTCGTCTCTCAATGCAATCATATAAAAAACATCTTGGTATTCTCACATGAGTTTTGTTTTTGCACGCATTTCAACCTTTGAACTCTTGATTTTCTGTCTTAATCAGGCATTGAATGACAAAGAAATGAAAGTATTAATTTGACACGAAAACAAGAAGAAGAGTTTTTTTTCTTTCAATGGTAATTACAGACATTTTTGTCATTATTTATAAATCAAATGTTCATTGAACCGAATGAGACATCTTACATAGCGCATATTTGTGAGAAAAATTTTTAAGAAGAAAATCATCAAAGGCAAGATTTTAAATTAATTTCCGTATTAAATGCCAAGTAATATTTTTAATTTCTTTGTTCATAGAAAAGATTGTAATCATTTTAATTGAAAAACAACCTGTAATAATAATTAACGCTAATAAATAAAGATATTCAGGAGGTAAAATTTCTTTTGTTATGACTTGCCAAATGACTAAAATTAGATAAGGTAATCCAGCAGTTGTTAATATCATTATTAAAATAATAATATTTCTCATTAATTTTAACTCGCGTTTATAATTTGGAATAATTATCTTCGGTGTTGTCATTATTACTGCTGCTGTTGTTGAGAATTCTAAAACAGGATTTGTATTGAGATGTGTCACTCGATTTGTTGATTTTTGAGCATGAAGAAAGATAATTCCATAAATCGGAATGATTATTGAAAGTGGAATTAAATAGGCAATTGTTACTGCTAAAAATGATGATAAAAATACTTTTGTTGTATTTAAACATAATCTTGATTCAATTTCTAATCCATAAGCATTTGGAACAAACATCGGTCCTAATGCTCCTAATATTGCAATTAGATAATTCAGTATTATTAAATAAATATGAGTACGATAAGTTAATAAAGATTTATGTTTATAAAAAACGGAAAAAAACAATCGACTAATCGCTTGAACCACATAAGATGTTGGAACAGATATACAAACAGCTGTATAACAATATGCACGAAAGAAACAAGCTGGTTGATTTGTTAACCAATTTGATTGTAATCCATGAAAATCCGAATTTAATTGAAAGATTGAATAGATCATTGATAAAACAATTGTATTACTTGTTATCAAATTTGTTATTGTTCGACATTTGCGATGTGTTATGATTATGATTAACATTAAAAATCCAAAAGATAAACTTATTATTGATGAACAGATAGAAATTGAAAAACATATTTTATAAAATAGATCCGATAGCATTGAATGACTAGAAGTTTATGAGAAAAGAAAAGATTTTTCTCTTTCTTCTTCTACTGGGAGGAATCAAAAAAGATTCTTTGGATCGTGTTTTTACGTCTATTCGAGATTTAAATTGAATTTTTTCTGTTATGAAACATGTGTTAAGTGTAAAGAGTTAGTTTTTTTACTTAGAAGATTTCTTATTAATCAACCAAATAGGTCACGTTTTTCTCATTTAACCATTTCTTTTAATTAAATTATATGTTCAAGAGATCAATTGTAAACTTTTTTAGTCTAGACAATTATCGATCGACTGAAAGATGTTTCTACTCTTTGTAGCGGTCGTAAGAATAATCGTTGGATTCATTTGTTTTTCTCAGGTAATGAATATATACAGTATTTTACCAGCTTATCATAAATTATGTACATTTTCTTTCTTTCTCATCTTCGTACGAAGTCTGCGACATGTAGAAGAATCAGAATAGTAGTCTGGTTCGAAGTTCACGTAAACATATTCAAATGATGATTATTTTATCTTTCATCAAATTTATGTTTTGTGTGTAAAAATAACTTCGTCATTTTAGGGAACATCCTGTCAAAATGTCTCTTCCGATATTGTGAAAAGACAAGGAGAAAATAACATGTGATTCTGTAGTCAATAGTACGACGAATAGAATGAAAGATAATAATAGTCTTCAGTATTTTGTGGAGAAAATGTAAATGAGAGAAGGACTTGTGAGAATTCTTGTTCAAAGTACAATACGAACCGGAAAAAGAACGTCTAATTGAGCAAAAATATTCTTGTTTATGAATAATTTACTTGAGGATAATATCAACTGATTGAATTATTGTTTCTCTGACAACTCATTCAAATTTGCAGATGAATATGATCGGTTTCATCAATCGTGGTGAATAGAAAAGTTTCTACATATCTTTCATAGACACGATCCTTTGTTTGGTGATCTATTTTCTACCCATCTGCAGTGTCTGTAATAGTTACTGTCAAATATGATTCTTAGTTTTGGCCTTAATACACGTACATAGAAATTTTAAAAAACGGATGATAATTGTTTTTCTCATTTATTTATCGAAATTCGGGAAACATTTATAAATATCTCAAGAAAAAAAAGTTGAAATAAATCAAATGTATTTTTGTTTTTATGCTGGAGCAACTTTTGATGATCCTCTTGATAAACTCTGAATATTTCGAGATGTTGTTTTATTTACTGGACGTGATGAATTTGAAATCGGTGTAGCAGAAGTATCAGGTTGATTTTCATCCAACATATTTTTTTGCTCCTTTTCTTCTTCTGATTCCGGTGAAATGCTATAAAGAATCATTCCAAATATTCCTAAAGTAATTCCAAGAACAAACACCGAATAGGATAACGGAGCATATGACCATTTGAAAACAGGTAAAATAACACAGGCGCCTAAACATGATACGATCAAAATTGTACATAAAACTACATTTTTAATACATTTTCCAAGATAAACAATAATTGCTAAAATTGTTGTAAATAATCCAATAAGGCCAGTACAAACACCTAATTGATCTAAGACACTTTTTGTTGATTGAAAACGAATAATCCATCCATAACACCAGCCAATTACATCTTGTGAATTACTTGGAAATTGAGTTTTATTGTTTGGAAAACAATGAAAACTGGCACTTTGATTAATTGGGGAAGATAAACTTGTCGTATCATTGAATATAAAACAATCCATTTCGAATTCAGGACAATCTCCATCAGGAACGACTCTCGCATTGCTCAAAATACAACCTTGAAAAAGTAATATGGCTGTTATTGAAAGTGTCATTGCTCCAAGGAGACAAAAGAGAAAAGCAATCCATCCATTACGTGTACATTTGCAATCACTACATCCAAGTGGTTCTTGAGCATTTTTAGTTTTTACACCTTTCTCTAACTCTGGTGGATCAACACCGATAATTCTTTGATTAACAAATCCTTTACCTTCATTTGAAGTATGAAATATACTAAATACAAGACACAGAATAATCAAAATAAGTCCAATTGAAATACCAATGTTACATTCAATGTAATCTGAATGTGTCCATTCCATTCCGATGAATTTTGTAAATCTTTGTATTGATTTGAAAACAAAATGAATACAGTCGCTTTGCGTTTCTATTCATTTTATACTTTTCGTTGAAAAATTTTCATGAATTTCATTCGAATGCACATGATCAACTTCTCTTCATGGGAAAAAACTCAGACGACTTAACAATTTTTACTCACTTTGATCATGTTTGTTTGTTTTTCTTTGTAAAACCTTACCCATTGAGGGAATTTCATCTGATTTTCTTTTGTATTTCGATGAGGGTGATGGTGGAATAACTGACTTTACATTTGTAATTAAGAAGTCTAAAACTTATCGTGCTTAACAAACAGATAATTTCTAACCGACTTTATTTAGTCCTCCTTTCTTCTTCACACGAAATTTGAACGGATTCTTTTCTTTATTCAAATAGATGAGGATGGGTTTTTGTAGATATTAGATACATTCTCTCTCATCTTAGCTTCCCACATCCTCACAGAAAACATTATCACTTTTTTTACAAAAGATGTCTTCACGATACAACTTGTCGAGTTTTTCGTAGAACGGAAAGTATTTATTTACAAAGATCAAATTGAACTGAAACAGAAGAATGCTTTATAATATTTACATCTACATGAAATATTTCTTCGAGATATTTCTAAAGAACAGAGATGAAGATACAATTGCTACTACTAAATTACACAGTTATTCCTTTAAAAATGCTTGATTGTACGTTGCGATGCATCAATTCAGTGATGAATGATTACGCGCACAGAACAACTGTTTCTTATTATTTAAAACTCTTGTCACACTTTTTTACACAAAAAGGAAAATGAGGGAAAATATAATTCTATAGACGAAGTGCAGAATTTTCCAAAAGGATAAGATTAGGTTGAACTCGATTCCACACTGTGCATTAGACATCTATATTAGCAGATATTCAAAAGAGAAGGTGACGTAGCTCTCTACGTGTGATCACACGCGCTCTCTTTATTTAACAAGATTCGAAGAGTAGAGTGTATACGTATATGTTAACATCAAAGAAAATAAAAAACAAATGGAGAATGTAGAAATCATTGGTGGAATATCGATGTCTATGTTTACGAAATTAGATGTACACTCATCCTGAATGTCGAATCGCTTTTTCGAAAAATCAGGGTCCTCAAGCTGCCAGGAGTGGCGCACAAATCGCAGGACAAACTGCTATGGCTGCTATCCTACCCACCGTTCCTCCAAGGTTAGCTACGTCTAAGCAGCCACGCACACAATTCGCAAATTCAACGGGCCCAGCGATTACTTTCGCTATTGATCCAATTAACAGAATCATGACGACACTGCAAAGAATCATACTGAACTTCATGTTATGTTCTTCGTAAGAGAGAAAGCATGGAAAGAAAAATAACCCAGTACCCACATACATTTTCGAGATTTCCAACAGGATTTTCTAGAACTATCAGGAGTATTACAGCAACCGTAGTAAGTTGAATCAGTTTATCCTTCTATTCGTGCATTTCACTACGTATTTCACCATGAATGAGAAATACAGAATTGTTATAGTGTGACTCATACACTGTTGGATATTTCTTTTTCTTTTCTGCGATACTATCATGTCGCGTGCATTGGAAGTGTGAATTTATTTTGATTCAAAATAAAGAATAAAATTAATTCGTGTGAAATTTCCAAATATGACCGAATAAACGTTAGTGTAAAATTAAAAACTAAGAAAAATTAGTATATGAAAGAACTGCGTTTTGTCAAAAAGAGTGTTATAAAATTGACGCATTGTGGAAAAGTAATTGTTATCGTACTCAGAGAAGTCAATTGAAAAATTTTCAAAAAACGTGTTGAAATTTCCTTAAAACGTCGATTTAACAGTTGACAACTACTAAAACAGGGTCTTAATGAGTATTTAAAGCGTAATACATATGCATGAATATTTTATATATTATTCTAAGATTTAATGATTATTTACTCTTGAAGGGAAAATTACGTTTCGTCCCACCTATTCCGAACATCTGGCAGCATGACTGGATGTTCGGAAAAAAAATTTTTCCCCTAAATTTCGTGCAGGAGTCCGGAATGCCGGGTGTCCGAAAATTTTTTTGGATTGTGTGACGGGAGTTCGAAATTTCTTTTCTATCGAAGATCGTAAAAATAAAAAACAACGAGATTTCAATACACTGATTAGGTATTTGGAACAAAACATTTAGAATGTAGCTATAGTTTAATCACGGTGATCGTAAAATACAAGATTGAATGTAACTGAAAATGTAAATTGATCTCGTCATTTAGTTCGTAAAAGAACTTACCGGCAGATCGTTATGAGCATAATGAATTTTCTTTTGTTTTCAATATTTACAAAGATAACTACAAAACTAAGGTATTACTACGTGTTTTATTTTGTTATGAACAAATTTTCATTTCAATACGAATACAGTGTTGCCTTCATCTCGATTGCTCATTGCTAATCATTAGGGGCTTCTGGTTGTTCCATTCCAGCCTGTAATTAAATTTGTACCGCTCGATCCTTATTGACTGATACTGAGTGTTATAGTTACGATCTACCGGTTAATACATCGTTCCGGACATCTGACATATATACCTCATGTTTTCGATTACGGACTTCATGATAAAATCGGCAGTTGCTTTTTTGTCACGGTGTTCGTAACGGACATCGGTTCCGGGAGTTCGGAAAAATAAAGTGGTACGAAACGTAGTTCACCCCTTCAAGATTGCATTTCTATCAGGCAAATATTTATTTTATATTGTATAGCGCAAACACAACGTCAAGTGTTAAAACCAATTTGAAGTTGCTATACATGTATTGACATGTGAATTAAAGAGGATTGATCCTATGTCGTAGACGTCGAAATAAAAATGATCCAATTTTCAATGCTACGGTGTCAATATAGGCAATAAGATAAAGACACTTGAAAGTTGATTGTAGAAAAAGGATTAATTATATAACAACTAGCTCGAAATTCAGGTATTACTGTATTTTCAATCATAACTGGTGAACTACACATAGAATTAGTTCCACAAGAATAATTCTTTTCAGTTTCATATACACTTGGTTTAGTCCATAGTGAAGTCAATTCTTCCTTTCACAACGTTTGAAAATATCAATTTGATTGGATAGACGGCCTGATTCCATTTCCTTGAATCATACTTGAATAAAATCCCAATGTCAAACAAATGTAAGATATGTTGGTAAACGAATTTGAGTCACACCACTTTTAGCTTGAGAATGAATGACATGGTAGTTATGTCATTCGTCGACAGATACTCAATCAGGCTTGAAGTATGAATTGCGTAAATCATATTCAGCGAACAGTCATATATAGATTCGAAATAGTGTCCCTTTTCGGGAAAAGAATAGCTACTTTTATCCTATTATCAATGTGCCTTGATTAGAGACACACTTTTGATTATTCATCTTCATCAAATTTGATTATGAGTTCGTTTAATCTTTGCTAATGCGGTAAAACCCCATATCGTCTAGGACCGATCCAGTGTCGACTAATGATATACAATCCGACCTGAAAACATCATTCTGATGTATAATTACCCATGAAGTCTAGCCCTATTCGAAGCAATCATTCGAGTGAAATACCGTCTTTCTATATGGGCACCTGCTGTTTTTTTCTTTCTCGTTGTACGATGGTTGTTATTTCACAACATGCAGTAATACATTTCAACACGAAAAATCATAAAGTGATCGCTAGTGTTGTTAAATTCATCACTAGGCAAACGTTTTTGTCAAGTAAATAATGACGTAGAATAGCAAAACGATGGTGAAAATTTAGATCGGTCCTCTCTACTGACTCATGTGTATACGTGATTTAAAATTACTAACAGTAATAGTACACATACGAATATTTTTTTCTTCTCACTCAAATAAAAATGTATAGATACGAGTGCTTTTCAATCATCACATTAAAAACGGTTGAGTCTACTTTGTGCACTATATTCGTGATATATTTCATTTGAATAAATGCGCAATTGTCATTATTTTAGATTAAATTGTTTCCCTGGCTTCAATGTCTTCGACTATTACAATTCGAAATTTACTACCAGATACAGATTTAGTCTGCTTTTTGGTATGTTCATTATTCACAAAAGAAGAATGCGACAATTTATTGAATTCTGAAAGAAAAGCTTCTTTCCAAAAAGCGATATCCAATTATCCGACATATTATCGTAACAACGACCGATTAGTCATCGATGATTCACAATTGTCTGCATATTTGTTTGACAAAATCAAATCTCATCTACCAGATCACATCGAAAACTGGACTTTAGCGGAATTAAATACTCGTCTCAGATTCTGTAAATACAATGCAAATCAATACTTTCATCGACATTTAGATGGAATTCATTATGTTTCAACGACGAAACAATCAAAACTAACGTTTATGATTTATCTGAACAATGCCGAGGAATTCGAAGGCGGTCGAACAGTGTTCTATAAAACAAAAGATTCAACTGACATCTGGGCAAGTTATGTTCCTCAACAGGGTGATGTGATGATATTTGATCATAACTTATGGCATGAAGGAGAAGAAGTTACGAATGGAGAAAAGTTTGTCTTGCGAAGTGATATTTTATATACAAAAGAATTGGAGGAAAACTCAAAAGAACCATTCAGTGGACATTTGGGATATATTTGGAAAATATTGATGTTTGATAATGAAACTTTGTTAAGTGCTGGTCGAGATAAAACAATTCATGTTTGGAATATGAATGGAGAAAGTCGTCAAACGCTAAGAGGGCATCAGAATTCGATATTATGTATGGAGAAAATGAATGAAAGAACGTTTATATCAGGTTCAAGAGATAAACAAATGAAGATTTGGAAAAGAAATGACAATCGAATGTTTGAATTGATAAGTTCATTTAGTGTTCATTCAGCAACTGTCTTATCGATTTGTAAAGTTACGAAAGGTTTCTTTGCATCCAGTGCAGCTGATAATTCGATTAAAATAGTTAATTTGAATGGACAAATCCAACACGAATTAATTGAGCATACGAATTGGGTTTGGCAAGTTGTCAAACTTCACGATGATTATCTTGCTTCGTGTTCCGAAGATCAAACAATTAAGGTCTGGAATTATAAAAATGACAAATGTATAAGAACATTCTACGATCACTGTTCGGTAATTTGTTTGATGTACGATCAGATGACAAATACACTTGTAAGTGGCAATTTTCAAGGTGAAATTATGGTTCGAGAATTATCAAGCGATTTCAATGAGATACAAACAAAAAAACTTGATGGACATAATGGAATCGTGCGAACAATTTTGAAACTGAACGAAACACTTCTAGCAAGTGGAGGAGAAGACAACAAAGTGAAAATTTGGAATATTCAAAGTGGAATTTGTGTTCAAGAATTTCAGCACGACAATTTCGTACAAGCTTTAGAGCTAACCAACGATGGGAAATTGTTAAGTGCATCTTATGATGGAACGATCAAAGTATGGAAAATATAAATATTCAAGAGAAGAGTGAAGGTACAATGCGACCCACATTCTTTCGTCTTGTAAGAAGTCGTGTTTATTTCTCAAGTAAATTTTTTTCACTTTGCTTCACAAAATGAGTTTTATTTGCAGTTTATAACCAGATCCGTAGCTAATAAGTTTTAGTCATGAAGTGTTGTTCTGAATCAAGCTGATTTTGTACACTATCAAATCCATGCACATGTGCGGAGTATACAATTTTAAGTTGAGATGACACAGTGTTTTTTTGCAAAGTCGTACACTCAAGAAATGATAATATTTTGGTGGATATAAGTTTTCTTTTTCATTCGAATTAGTATTGCAATAAACAATTTCGTCGTGAGGATTCTGAGAAAAAAGTAAATTTAAATCTTCAATAATTGTTTTTGTTTCATCGTGAATGACGTTCAACTTTTCTATGTTTGACGATATACGGCAATAACATTCGACGGCAGAATCGGGTTAAAAGTGGCTGTTTCATCGGGTACTTCCAGGATTTGGTTATTAAACGAAACTTATGTTTTGAAATTTTTTGGCAAAGTGTACCGAACTCCTTTTGTCTGTGCAATGCTTTACAATAAAAAGAAATCCTACAAAATAGAATGTTAGAGTCGTTTGTAGTGCAAACAGATAAAAGAGGATTCCCACGAAATTTGTCTGAATTGTATTTTCTGTAAAATGCTGCTTGGAATTATCATATAGTATACAGCAAATTTATCCAGGTTTTTCTTCTAGCAATGTATTCTCGAGAGAACTAAAATAGTATTCATCATGCAATGGATTGACGATTCAGGGGAAAATATTATAACAGGAATAATTCTATTTTTAAAACATGAGGCATCGCAAAAGATGGAAATGAAACACTCGATTTGTTACGACGCTTTGATCAAATATAGAAAAAGCGATAGAAACTTCCGTACCAATGCCCGCTACAGAAAATAACAAATAAATAGTCGTAGATATCTTGTAATGTCATGACGACTTTTATAACATTATGTAACTCTTGTTTCAATCGACAATCAACTCCTAAATCTCCTGCTAGTGCGCGAGATTTATATCTATTAAGTGCTGAATTAAATTAACCTACCGTGTCAGTTGCATATGCTTGACTAGACTTGAAATCAATTGCGACACGAAATTTACTCAGACTCTCCATTCATTATATCAAAACAGGATCAGTCACTGATGGAAACGTTGCTTCGCCTATATTATATGCATGGCTCACCGCAAATCTTACATCAGAATAATAGAAAGGAATTTATTGTCGTTTTATTTCTCTATAGAGAAAAAAAGAACAACTATTTACTTTTCATAGATTTCAATAATTACGATCTTGAAAATGTACAGTGACTATAAATGATTACAGCTCGAAAAATTTGTATCGATCAATACAAAGCAATATCCCTGACTTTTTCGCAAGTGATGGAAATGCTCTTTATAATAATAAAAGCATCTTGCTTGATGATATGAGACATTAACAAGCGTAATACTTTTTTCCAATGACTAAAAGTGATTCCGATACAGATTTCATTTGACAAATCAATTGTAGCGCGTTTTTTTCCCATAAATATATCGAATTAGAAACGCTATGGTTGCTTTGCATTTGCATGCTAAATCCGCACGCTTTTTTTAAATCTCTTTGATGAAACTTGAATGTTGTTTAAAAATCTATTCATGCGTTTGTGACAAGTGAGTCTTTTATCTCTTAAATAATAATTGAATTTTAAATGGCGATTTCCGGATGAATAAAAGTCTATTTCTTTAGAAAAATATTCATCACTTCATCCAAATATGATGTCCTTATCGTATATTAATCAACAACTGACAATTTATCTTGGAATATTTCTGTTAATCATCGGTGTAATCGGCAATGGTTTAAATATTTGGATATTTTCAAGTACTTCAGCATACCGTCGAACTCCGTGTACGTTTTATTTTCTTGCTAATTCAGTCGACAATATTCTATTCATTGGTATTAATCTTATATCTCGTGTAGTAAGTATTGGTTTTAATTTTGATTTGACTCAAACGTCAGTGTATTGGTGTCGAGCACGACAATATTTCATTGCTGTGTTTGGTCTTTTTTCATTTACATGTGCATGTTTAACTTGAATCGATCAGTTTCTCGTTACATCACGAAAGGTTTCGTTACGTCGTTTAAGTAATATTAAATGGACTCACCGAATCGTTTTCATTTTGATTATTATTTGCTGTCTTCATGGCATACCTCGTCTTGTATTTTTCGAGATTTCTTCGAATTCCAACACATGTGTAGTCACAAATACAGTATACTCTATATATATTACTGTCTATTCTCTTAGTTTAACTAGTATTGGTCCAACAATAATTATGATTATATGCGGATATTTAACTTATCGAAATATTCACTTTATCAGAGCTTCTGTTGATCATCAATTAGTTAAAATGACTTTATATCAGGTTTTACTTGTTTTTATTACTATAACTCCATACGGCATTACTACAAGTTATATATTAATAACATCATCAATGAAAAAGGATGCATATCAATTAAGAAATGAAAATTTTGCATTATCTTTTGTTAGTATATTGTGCTATTTTTATTATTGTGTATGTTCTTTCATTTATTAAGCAAATGATGTGTATTTAATCGATATTTTTTTTGCTAGGGAAGTTTCTACATATTCTTCATTTCATCAAATCGTTTTCGACGCACAATGAAAGCAAAATTATTGTTTTGGCAACGAGCCAATCAAATCGATCCACTCCCAATTGTTGCATTTTAAATTATTAAGTAAAATACAAGCTTTCCTGCCGTTTTCTTCTTGTTTGAATTGCTCAAAAGTGAACGGTATTTTAGGAGAAAATAATTAACTAAAGATCAAAGAAATGTTCAATATCTTCTATTGAGAACATGATTTAACAACGACACGCATACTCTTCAGATTACAATGATTGTTCTATGTGTATTGAATTACAAGACATCAAAAGAGTGTGTTGTTTAGTAAAACTTTTATAAATTTATTTACTTCGTCTTGTCAAAGGAAATGTTAATAGTGAAATGCTAATTATTCTACTTCTTTGAGATTCAATTTATTTTCTTTCATGCTTATATTCACATCTTTTTTCTTCTACTTTTTCACTCCTACTGTCAATACACCCTTGTTGATTGACAATGAAATCTCTCAATCATCGATCTTTATTCGTATTATTCATTACAAGTCAAACACTTCATGCCATCCGGATTGGTTCTGTTGCTAATGCAACATTTCACGCATGGAATTTCACTCAAATCTATCCAATCCTGACATGCAACGAATGCACATGCACTGCTTTGATGTTATCAGCTGCCGGATGGAATTGTATGATTATGAACAAAACATGTCAATTAATTTCGAATTATTCTTCAAATGATATTGGATTAAAAGACGCGATTAATACAACCTTTTCCTTTCAACAATTTCCGTTCAAACAAGTTACAACACAGACTTGTAAGTCTAACTCTAACACATAGAAATTTACAAAAAAATACTTTCATTTTACTTTAGTGATAACGACACAAAGTCCTCTAGAAAGTTCTTGCTCCAATGCTAGGTTCTATGCAAATATTTGGACATTCTGTACATCATATTATCCCAGACCCTCTCTATACAATCTAACACTCACAATTAGACTTCTAACAGACATGAACTATATCTGGTATTTGGATGATGTATCTGTACGAACTTCAACATCAACAGAACTCATAACTAATGGAAATTTTGAAAGTTCACCACCATTGTACAGATGGTCAACAGGATATCCCAGTTCTTGTTACGAACAATTTGGGTTAAGTAGCACTCAATACCATTCCTCCAATAGATCTTATTATGATGCTTGTAGAACTAATATAACTTGGATCTCCCAATCATTATATACTTCTACTTTTTACGGTTATTATAATGTTAGTTTTTGGATTTATCTTGATCATATCACTTCATCTGGAAATTTATCGAATGTTGGAGTGAGTTGGAATCTTGTCTGAATCGTATTGGCCGATATATAATTTGAGTTCAAATTTTCAGACTCTATAAGAGTGATTTGTCATGATTTGTTGAAATAATTGAGAAATCTCATTTCCTCTCTATTTTAAACAGAAAACAAAATGGCACTCACGTCAAGTTTTGATATTCTTGTATATATAAAACTATTGCACAGTCTACACTGTTTCATATCAATAAAATTATGAAGATACTCTCTAAAATATTCATTTTACTCATTACTTTCTTTCTTATAATCGATCCCACAATACCAATTGAGCTTCCTCATATCGACAATGTCATTCTAAGCCCAACTTATTCTTCGAACAGCACTTTTCTTTCAAATATGACTTGTGCTCAATGTCTATATGTGTTTCATCATTATCTTATCCAGCATTGAATTGCATTCCGAATAATTCTTGTCAATTATTTTACACATTTCCATCAATTTACCGGATTGAATATGTGCAAAATGCGCGTCTTTATTTTCCTCAATGTTGTATATCTGACATTTATTCTCTGTTGAGTAAAGTCAATGCATTCCAAACTGTACTAGCGAATGTATCAAATCCTCGTGATACTGTTATTGATAGTAACAGTTATTTGATTACAGTTGAAGAATCGACGAGCTCTTTCGTTCGTTTTAATTCAAAAAATCTAACCCGAATTACATACAGATCATTCTTGAATCCAGAACACACGACTGTGGTGTTATTCAACAATGTTTATTATACCGCAAATATCGCTGGAATGATCATGGCCATTGATAGTCAAATATTATCAATACTATCCAAGATTTCCACTAGGTGTATCTGGTATTCGTGGAATGATATTTTTGAAACAATAGTTGTAACAACTTGTGGAAGTAACAGAGTTGTATTTTTGAATCGGACAAGTATTTATCCAATCTCTTACAGTATTTCTTTTTCGAAAAACTCCGCCTTCGAATGTCCGCACATGGAATATGGCGGGTGAATGATTCGGTTTTTTATGTCACATCCAATACCAATAATTCACTTCACATATTTTGGAGGAATAATTCGTACAAAACATATTCGAAACAGATACAATTTTAATTTACCATCAAAATAGAACTAAATTGGCGAGTTGGACGATACCTAGTTCAGCTATTTTCGATATTAAAATGATGAGCAATTATCTGGTGTTCATTACGGAATCGAACACCGGTCGAGCTAGACGTATCCAACCGAATATTCAATGTTAAATTTCAAGAGGATCTCCATCCACAAAAGACACATTTGCATAGGCGTCTTTTGAAAAAATAGGTGTCATCTTCAATCGATTGATTTCAATAAATAAAAATAAGACAATGGCAGTTTAATAATCATTCTTTCGGCATCGGAAATCCCTTGTGGACTGCATATAAAGATTGACATCTACTAGTGGCGTATTCATCCCCATATCGTCTTCTCTTCTAGAATTCGAGTTTTCAGAACATCCGAAAGCTCTTTCATTGACACGCACTTGGCCGGCAGAGTTTCGTCGAATAGTTATTTAAGTTATCAAGTTAGTCAAAAAACCTTCTTTTCATGTTACATACGAAGATGTTCCTCACAATTTATTGTTGTATCTTTCGTTGGTCATTTATCCACATTCAATAATCAAAGTTACGATTCTTCGTCTTACGTACACATCATCTGTGCACATAACAAAAACATTCATTCTCCAATCGCCAACATTTTCCCAATATGTACAAGCTCTCACATGTCCATGCATTCAGATATCAATCCGCTTTATGAAGTTCATCAAGTGTATAGTAGCTTTATCGTTATGCCGTCCGATAAGCGGATTCACTTTTGTTTCAGGTTTTACAGACCTTATGTAAGGCTGCAGATGCAACAATCAATGGCAGTTTACGACAGTGGTTTGAAAGCTATGTTGAAACTTAGATTACTTGACGTCATGGAGCAGATTTGCTTGATATTAATAATTCTAGCGTGGCAAGTAAGAACGATCGGTGTACAGTGAAAGTGTTGGTGTTGATATGAAACATTGAGAATCTATCTATCTATGTCTTCAAATTGTAATCAATCATTGTTACGTGTCGTTGTGTCGATAGAAAAGATAACATATGAAAACATTTTAGTTTTACTTGCTTAACAGCAATAAAATCTCTGACAACTGCCTGTGAAATAGTAGTATAAATGAATATTTCTCCGAAATTCGAATTAATCGTCCAGACTGACTAATACAAGGTTAGATATGCTAAAATGAAACGAACTTCTTTTGCGTGTGAACTCAAGTTTCGATTGTTATCAGCATACTCGTCGAACGGTGTTCTTGACCCGAGAACGGGTCGTTTTATCTTCTCTGCACACATATATAAATAATTTGTTTCTTTGTCAACAGTCTGCTTCAATTAAAGACATGACTTTAACTAAATTCATTATCGGAATGCTGTTAATAATATCGATAATCTCCAGTGGATTACTTTATACGTCTAGCCGAATAATATGTACGCAACAATTTCATATTGGAAAAAATAATAAAGACAATCCATTTACATTCTACAGTTTCTATCTCATATTTATTTTTATTCCGTCTCTTGTTTATAAACTAATCCCTCGATTACCCATTTAGTAACTGACGTACGTTTACCCCGGTTGAAGAATTTTTGAAGATTTTCTCAATCGTATCTTGGATTATTAAACAAGGCATTGATTTGGGAATAAAGTGACTAAATAATTAACTCTCATATTCGAATGAACATACAAAATAACATGGCGAGTTTTTGAAAAAATAGTCAAGTAAAAATTTTTCTTGTTTATCGAAGAATAAAGTTTTTCTCCATTCAAAAAACCCTACTTATAGAACAATATAAACAATCGACATTACGTCAGAAGGTGTTTTTCTCTGAGTTTATGTCAAGAGAATTAAAAATAAATTTGAAGGTGTGCGGGAGTAAAAACTTAACAGAATGAGCATAGCTTTTAAGGTCTCTATCAATTGATATAGAAGAAAATCCCTTCACACAAGTCATGTGAAGGTTTGGCAATCTGCGATAGAATTCATATAAACGCCATCGTTTTCTCATGAGTGGACGTCAATATTTCTTCTCGTTCTGTTTGTCTTTGTTGTTGTGATGACGTGAGT